TTTCTCTACGCGGTTTTACAGCACTGGCGGTACGGTCAGTCAGGCGGCAGATTTATTCCCATCTTCAACAAATGAAGACTCCGGTTGGTATTTCCAATACGGTTCCTCCGAGTCCGATTCTGCGGAATGGCGTGTCGCGAACTGCGCTCCTTACCAAGACGTTGAAATAAGACTTCTGTACTCCTGGAACGCAACCGCTTCTTCGATGGGAATGGGAGAACAAAGCGCCGCGACACCAGAGAACGCGACCGCGTTTGCGCAGGTGTTTTTGAATGGCTTTGCCATGAACACGAGTAACAATTTTCACTACTTGATCTCAAGCGGAAGTTCAAGTGGAGCAGACCTTGATTCTGCAGGAGGCACTAATGACACCGACCTGGCAAACAACGTGTCAAATGAAACGGAGGACGGGATGAATGCTAGTAGTTCCGCAACTACTTCAACCCCTGAGACGACCGCAGCAGCGTCAATTGCCTTCGGTGACCCGATTCTCGTTCCGTTTGAGGCGTTTAATGTTTCAGGCTCTGAGCCGAGAAAATATTCCCCCTGGATCGCGGTACCGGGTTCTCTTGCAAACGCGGGCCCCCGGAACTTCTTCGCTTTCAAGCCGGCGCAGCAAGATGGAGCACCATCAACAACATCCACGTTGGAGGGACTGCAGTTGTACGGGTTTGAAATCAAGGTGACCCAATTCAACCCGCAGAACAGCACAAGAGGAGGTGCTAGCAGCAGTACTGGCACTTCGTCCAGTTCATCTACCTCTTCACTCCCGAACGTTACCACCGTGGAATCTCTGCTAACATTCGACATCCGTGGCCCACAGGGGATTTCACTTCAATTTGACGCCGCTGTTCCTCCTGCGTCCGTCGCATCATATTCCGGTGCTGCTTCTCCTAGTACTACCCCTACTTTGTCCTTCCCAGCCGCGTCCTCCTTCACACTGAACATCAACTTTGTCGGGTGGGACAGTTCGTCAACAGCAACTTATGGTGACGAGATTCTGATCGCCAACGACTGCTCCAACGTGGAATCCTACTTGCACCCGCGAGGCGGCATCCTGACCAGCCAGGCGGATGCGACGGTGGTCGCTCAGACGGGCCAGCAACTGGCGGAAAACACCACGACGATCAGCTTCGCAAACGTGAAGCTGGCGAGGGGGGAGCGGAGTTACGAAATCTGCTGGCGATATGGATGTGTCAGGTTCAAAATCGACAAAGTTGAAATAATTTGCCATGCATAAAATTATGCGACGCAAAGACGGACTCCCATTGCAGAGGACACAAGTAGGGAGGCAGATTGTAATGCTGGTCATGAGCAAGAATTGATGGGCTGCAGGCTAGCATGACAGGGGGGGTCCTCGTCTTGCCCGAAACAGCATGACAGACTTGCTTCAGAGGCCAGGAAAATTTGTCATGCGCCCATTGGAGGCAACTGCAGGCCCAACTGGAGGCATCGACTTTATGCATTGCAAATTCTTTCGACTTTTCCAATTTCGATCCTGACACTTCCATAGGCGCAATTCGCTGGCGACAAACGGGACGTTCGAGCAGATCGGGAATTTCACGCTGATATCCTGTGTAAAAAAGTTCCCACCTCAGAGTTGTCACGCTGATGTGCAGCTACAGGGAGAATTGTGCTGCACATGCCCATCAATATGAGAGAAATTTTCAAACGTGTTTCGGAATTTGTAATGCTGTAAAAATCAGCATAAAGGAGATGGCTTTCTGATGTGGCTGTCATTGCTAAACTGCACTACACTACGAAGAGAAGCTTGTCACGCGTGACTCCCCAGGCTGCTGAGTTTGTGTTGCGAGATCCCCACTATGACTTTGTGGTCGGGACGACGTGTTTACATAGGATAGCTGACGGGACAGCAAGCCGGGTTGGAAATCATCACCTGCGTCGCCGGCGATCAGACGCCGGGGTTTGTGGAAGCGTGTGTTTTGCGGGACCTAGCGGTCGAGAAAGATTTCTACACCGCAAAACAGACGACGGGCAGTATTTCCAGTGCAACTTCTAGCGCAGTAGAAGACGACGTTTTCTCCTCCTCCTCGCCGGATTCTGCTCTGATCAAGCTCTTCGACGGAGTTGTGGATTGTGCGACAATGAATACTTCAGCGGTAACAAACACCTACTTTCCCTACCCGTTAGTCGTCGGGAAAAAATCGTGCAATGACTTGACGGGTTTCACGGCGACGCCTTCCCACAAGGTCTATGGGTCGACCGTCGCGGCCAACGATTGGCCGGCCGTGGCGATCGGCGGCGGAAGAACGGCGGCGAACCATGACTATATGCCGTTTGTGGCGCAACGAGGGTACTTGGAGCACGTCCGGTGCACAGACCAAATTGTGGAGAACGGGTGGATCTGCGCCAGAGCAGATCCGGCGACGTGTAAATGACTTTTTTCTTTTTGTTGCTTTTTATTTTTTCAGGAATAGGTCTAGTAATAGTATGAAATGATAATGAACGTCGACCACGCGTCTGCCTCTGCGTGCCTATGAACATGATTTCAATAAAATCATGTTTCATTCATCGCCGGGGAAAGAAAAACTAGAAGGAAAACCACTGTAACACCAGCCGTCACTGCCTGCGCCGCCATGTGTGAGAGCACGGCCAACTGCCTCGGCTTCGACTACAGCTTTTTGACGACTGACACTTCTGCTCGCTGCCGGGTCTACACGCAAATCGGCGCGAGCACGCAGGAAGCAACGGACCGGGTTTTTTACCTGAAACGGGCAAACCGCATTCCGGTGGGGAGTATCTTCACCATTTGCAGCCCGGAAACGAAAACGACGAAGAGTCTGACGAGCAGCGTATCCTGTGTAAAAAAAACGTCCCCAGCACCCCAGACTTGTCATGCAAATCCGCAAGCCTCAAATGTTTGCCCTGCGTCGTCCCATGAGGAAGAGGAGCATTCTCTAGTGCTGTCTGGCAGTTTGTGACTCCAGCATGAGAATAGGATGCTCGATGTAGTATGAAGAAGAGGCGGCTGCGCTAGCTATACCCGATTACACTGCAAGCCCTCTGATCTTGTCATACGCAACAGCCAAAGCTTGTTGATTTCCGCAGCAGCATTCCCATGCTGACTCTGGAGCGGGGACGTTTTTCCACAGGACGCAGCGACTTCTTTTCGGTGACGAAAGGGTACGTTCACGTCGAGGGGCCGCGGTTCTCCTCTTCAGGAACCGGAATCCCAGGGGCGCTTTCCACGTACGAGGGTGGTAGCAGCACAACAGGGGTGGTGAATCGGGCGCTGCCAAGTAGTGGTCTAGCTTTCACCTCCTCTTCCTCTTTTCAGGCAATCCCCACGAACCTCTGTACCATGCCGCAGCCCTCCAGATTCTTCGAGTTCAGTGACGGCGCCTGGTCACAGCGGCTATGCAATTTACAAATTTTCCGTACACCACCTACAAAATGCATGACAATACTTAAATTTTTCCGCCATCTTAAAGTAGAATCAGAAACACTTCTCATGCGTCTGCAGACGAGGGTCGAAGCGTAACTAACATTTGTCCCGCAGAAGCCGGCGCAGAATTTGTACGGGTAGTTGTACGGTAAATTAATTACTGTGCATAGAGGTCCGGTTCCCTGGCCTGTTCCTTCAGTGTTGAGATTCAGGGAACGAACCTGCAGACCGCAAATCTCACGGCGGACAGCCCTACCATGACGGTGGTCAACCGCGAAACGGCGTCTGGTCTCCACTACGACAATGCGATTTGCGCAAACACCGCGGTCAGCAGCTCCGGCGGCACGCTTGCGCAACAAGTTGCGACAACGAATTACAATGGCACGCTCTACACGGTCTCCGCGCTCCAGAATTCCGATACGTGCCCGGACGATACGCCCCATTTCCTCCGTCTGCCCCCCTTCGGCACCCAAGTGACCTCCTCCCTGGCCCCCTCCTTCTGGATGATCCCACAGCACGTGAACGTGTTTGACGCTGCGGTGGTGAATCCGACAAGCAGTTACTCCGGCGCGGCCTATTTTCTTTCGGATTTGGAGTACACGGTGAACGATGGGGTCCGCTTCACATACCAAGTATCGTCGACTTTGAATGGGTATCAAATGCAAAAATGTCCTCTGGGTCTGGAAGATTAGAACTTGTCATGCTAAATCTGAATGATGCAAAATCAAAAATCTGTGTTGCGTGAGTGCCAAAAGCTGTCCGCTTTTGACCAAGTTGAGAGGGAGTTTCTCACGCAGGAAAGGCATGATAGAGACCTCAAAGAATCTGTCATGCCAGGTCTCACATTCCAGACCTCATGGGTCATGGAAAACCTGCATCACAAAGCTTGCATTCTTCCAGACCCAGACATATTTGCATTTCATAATGGCGGGAAGTACGCGCTTTGCCTCCCCGGGTTCAGCGGTCAGCAGTACGTTATCTCCAACTTCGATATTCACGGAGTGAACAGCGCGAGTATGCAGTACACGACAACCGTGCCGAACGGGCCGAGCAGCCCGAAGATCACGGAAAAGTTCAGCATTCAAATTCTGGGCAACGGTTTAAACATCACCGAATTTTCCCGCGACGGCAGGTTTTGGATCGAGTCCGGGAACCAAAGCTGCATGAACAACGAAATGTACTTTGCGAACAACTTTAACAGCACTGCGGACCTGGCCCAGTTCAACAGTTCGAAGCTGTATTTGAACCCGGTCGACAGCTTGAAACAGGACGTTCTGGGGCGGGTTTATTTGACAAGTGATTTCATCAACACCGCCGCCTCGACCGACACAGTCCTGCAGTACACCGACTTAGCCGTCCCCTTCGCGGGCACGTACCACCTGTGTTTCCTGTCCAGCTTTTCTAACCCAGTGGAGCAGACGTTTCAACTCACAGAGTTCGAAGTGCGCGGGCCGCTACGGGTGGACTTTTTCACGCCGTCGAGCGGGGCCCCCGCGGGGAGTAGTTCGAGCTCATCCACGACCTCTGCGCATGACAACTTTGATGTGTCGAGCTCGCTGTTGCTCACCGCGGCGAACGCACTGAACCCAAATTTGTTGGATATCCGGCTTTCTTTCTTCGCTTACGACAGTACCACGGACGAATTTCTCATCACACCCGACTGCGCTTACCCCGGGGGCGTCCAGCCCTATGTATTCACCGCGGCTGGCGGGGTGCAAGTGTTAACAAACACGTCCGCGTCCACGAACGTGAACAACCCCTACAGCGACCGGATCCAGGAGGTTGTTTGGAGTCAAGTGTCGATCGATAAAGGGCTCGCGGAAACCGCTTCCGTTACCGAATACCAGCTTTGCTACAAACTGCAGCACGGGGTCTTCACAACGCTGGCCAGTTTCAACATCACCAACGTGGCGTTTACCACGGCCAAGGCGGAGTCGACGTTTTCGAATTCGTTGAATTACCCGGATTCTCTCTCCGCCGGGGAGAAGGTCGCTTTGAAGAATGCGCTGGAAGTGGCCGTGAAGGAAGTCGCCTGTGCACCGTTGATAGAAGCAGGAACCTTCAGCAACGTGGGGAATTGCACCAGCAGCAGTGGCGAAAATGGGGTTTCGACGACGTTCTCTTTCACGTGGAGCGGAATCTCGAGGAGACTGTTGGGAGAAGAAGAAGAAGTTGGAGATCTTCAGCAATTATCTCAAGAACACAAAGGCACCTCCGGGAAGATGAATAAAAAGGGGAAAGACATCAAAGGCAAAAAAGGAAAGCAACAAGATCCACCACCTTCTGCAACAAGGCGGCAACTGGCGCAAACAACGGCATCTGCAACCACTGTTTTCACGATCATCGCACCCCAAGCCTCTGCGAACTCGATTTTGACCAGTTTCCAAGCCGCGACGAACGACAGTTTGTCCTCGGCCACCATGTCCGCCAGCATCACAAATTTAATCCTTCAGGACAGCACCGTGACCACGTTTCTTTCTTCGGCTAACTTGACCGTCACGTCCTCGGTTCAAGTCGCCACCGTTTTAATCGATATCGCCGATTCCAGCGCCTTGGCCGGCTCGCAGTTGAACATCCAGACGTGTGGCTTTGAGGACGCGAAGTGTGTTTTTCACCAACTGTCCTTCGAAAAGGCAGTGTACACCGTTTCCGGCTTATCCGCTTTTGGCAGCACGAAAGACCGCGGCTTGTGGGTAATCGCTCCCGGGCAGCAAACCTGTGGGCAATTTGACAGTGCCGCTCTGACGACAACGAACGTCGACGCGATGGTGGTGGGCCCGAGGCCCTGCACGGTGCTGGATTTGGAAAGTTCTTATTTGTCCGGGGGGTACGGGAACGAAAACGACACCGGTATGGTGAACGCGGGAAGCATCTACACAATTTGCAACTGCCAAGTCGGGAGTTGCGGAGCGTTGAATGATTTCAAAGAGTTCCGGGGATACCTACACTTCGAAGGGCCGCGGTTTTTAACACCAGCGGACTCAAGTTCTTCTTCTGCAAACGACACAACTACAGGAACTACAACAGCTGTCGACAGTACCTCCTATACGTTGACCGGCGGTGGTCTGTTAACCACAGACATCAACAGCAACAACTACGCGTTCACCGGCGTGTACACCAATAACGAGGTCGGATCCGCGTCGAAGACGCATTGCGAAAACACCGCGTCGCTAGTAGAGGACAACACTGAGTTTGTCAACGACTGCCGGGTGGACGATCTGATCTTGCAGGGGACCAATCTCGACGTGAATTCGCTCCGCTTGGTCTTGCGGAACAGCACGACACACAACAATTCCAGGTGTAGTAGTGGCGCGTACCCAGCAGTAAGCACAACACCAGCGACGTACTATTCCGCTGACACGTACGGGTACTGCGCAGCCGAAACCGGTGTCGGCGCCGCGTTTGATTCAACGGTGAATTCCCTAGCGCTTTCCCTTGCCGCCAACGGGACGCAACTTGCCACCCCGTGGTCGTTCAACACGTCCGATTGGGACGACTCGGTCTACGGGGGCGCGTGGATGCTGAACCAAAATTTCACGGTCGTCCACCAACTGTTGCCCGTCAACATTCCGGCGGACACAGAGGCGGGGGAGTACAGTTTGTGCGTCGCCGGACTGCAGACCGGGGTGGATTTTGCGGTGCGGCATTTGGACATTCACGGTGTGAACAACGCTTCAATAATCCCGGCGGAGCACAAGCCGAGGATGCGGGAAACGTTTCGGGTGGAGGTGACCGGCTACGGATTGACGGACGCGTTTGCTACCAACAATTTGTGGCTGGAGTCAGTGACGTTGCCGGTCACTTGCGAGTCGAATGCGACGGCAGGTGGAAAATTTAACACCGCGACGGACGAATTGGCGATAGACGGTACAGACCCGGCGAGGGAAAAAATTCTCGGCAGGAAGTACTTGACGGACTACTACCAAGCGGAAAGCAGTTCTGGGACACTTCTGGTCTTTACAGACATCCTATCAACAGTAGATTGATTTTATTGATGCCGTACACGTACGTACAAAAACAAATGCAGCTTTTTGTGCACGGTAACACTTTGACTTTCCTTCAAAAATCCTATTCAGTATGACAAGAAGTGGCGTGCTAGAAGAAGTCGGTGACCTTATGCGTGACGCATTTTGTAAATACGTGTGCAGCTCCTGCATGAAATTTCTATTGCATACATCACGGCGAACTTTGCTGGGGAGTACAGAATCTGCTGGGAAAACCCGTACAACTACTTCAACAGCACGAAGGACAGAACGGGCTACGATGCCTGGGAGCTGACGAAAATCGACATCCGGGGCCCGATGCGGGTGGATGTGTTTGCGCCGACAGGAAGTGTCGTCCCTGCGGCGAGCAATTACCCGAACGTGAATTCTGTGCAATCCATCAACGCGGGTCTAGACACCAAAATCGACATTGAAATCACGATGCACTACTGGGATTACGCACACACGGCAACGAAGGACGACGAATTTCTGATTACGCAGGACTGTCACGACATCGACAGCTACCTGACAAGTCTCTTGACCCACGCGCAAATTTCCGCATCCAACAGCTCGCACGTTTTGTGGAAGAACGTGGCGCTCCCCAGGTCGACCACCCGGGAAAGACAAAACTACTACGAGGTCTGCTACAAGCTGAACACGCACCTGGCAAGCAGCACTAGGCGGGAGTACGAAGTGGTTCTTCGGTTCAACACCACCGGGCCTAGCATCGAAGTGCAAACCTGTCTCGCCACCGCGCCTTACTGCCTACTTCGGTCGTGGACTTTCGGCAAGGAACTGGGCGGGGAGTACGATCTGAAGGAATTCCAAAACCGGACGCAGCCCGACCAGGGGTTGGTGCTGCTGCTAGACGGGAAGCAGACCTGCGGGATGTTTCCGAAGCAAAAATCCGGTGCGTATCTGAACACGACCGAGCAGATGACGTTATGGGATTCTCAAATGTTACATTCTCAACTGTTACAAAATCATTTCTCATGCAAAATTACAATCAGAATCGATACGATCAAGCTGCTTTGCATGACACATCGAAATTCTCGAAGAGCCATACAGGCTGCTGATCTGTGCCAAATCTGTGATGCAAGACGCACAAGGTCTTTCACTTTTCCTTTTGCCATTGTTGCATCGCAAAGCCATTTAATAGTTTGTGGCTCTGGTGGGTTTAGCATCACAAATTGAAATTCGTTTGACAGTTGAGAATGCAACAGTTGAGACGGGGATAGATGTTCGGACAGTCCCCTTTGCTTGTCGGCCCGTCGAAGTGTGCGCAGTGGGACTACCAGGGCTTGGGGTACGATACAGTGGACGACAAGCAGCAACTTGTTGCCGGGGGGATCTACACGATTTGTAACTGTGTACCTGACGCCACAAACGACTGCAGCGAGGTGACCGATTTCAAAAAGGAGCGGGGGTATTTACACTTTGAGGGGTTACGATTCCTCGACGACCAATTCAAATCTACCTTCAACGAGAACGGCACCTACACGCAGCACGTCTTGATCAGCGACGACTTTCTAGGTGACGCAGACCACACGTACGAGCTGCAGAGGAAGAACTACGCGCTCTCCGAGGATGCGGGGATGCACTTGTACTACGATGGAACAAATATCGGGTCTGCCGGCTCCTCCACCTGCAACAATACGGAAGCTTTGTTCCCAACCCAGATCATTTACGGCGGGGCAGACGCTTCGAACGTGACTTTTGGGAATTTGAAGACGGGAGATTCCTTGATCAACCAGTGCATTGTCGACGACCTGCTGCTGCAGGGAACGAACATTTACGAGGATCGGGTCACCCTGGTTATCGCAAGGAAAAAGTTGTTCGCCCCCCTCCCGCCCATATTGATGAAGCGGGATGCAGCTGCCGAAAATTTGTGATGCTGGTGAAGTGTGGTCGTCACAAGTCGTGCCTCTCTTGCAAGAGGGCAAATCATCCAGGAAGTTGTCCGTGTTTCGATTTCAACATTATGGCGTCGAGGGGGGGCCTTCTTTCTTCTTGATACTAGTCCCGCGGAGTTTACTGACGGAATCCGAAACCCGGTGTCCGTCCGTGAACTCCGCTGCGGCGTCGAACTGGTACACAAGCGGCGTGTTTGGATTTTGCGACCCCACGAACCAAGACGGAGCGCATGGATATAATGGGAGTTTATCTTCTCCTGAGGACGTCGCAAACGCGTTTGGGAGCGCCGCTATTGACAGCGTTTTGAACGACACAATTTTCGGGGACGCGCGGTTTCAAACCGCGAACCTGGGAAGGACTTACTTGGAAAACCAGAACTACACTTTGGTTCACTCTCTGATCATATTCATGGCAAAAGTAACGTACTAGTACAAATAGCATCACAAATTTCGGCAAGTAGAAGAGAAGTGGACTTTGTATTGCTGTTTCAGGTTTAGAAAGAGATTTGTCACGCGTAAAGGCAATTGATAGGAGTGCGATACTTTTGCAAGGCACAGATCAACTACCGACTGAATTCCTCGACCTCCGCGGGGGAATATGCGCTCTGCGTCGAGGGTTGGTCCGGCGAGAACTACGTCGCCCGGTATGTCACGTTGAACGGGGTGAACGGGGGGGCGATCAAACCCTTCGGGAACTACGGCACGGAGAAGCCGCGCATTACGGAGGACTTCCATTTAGAAGTCTACGGATACGGTCTGAACGAGAGCCACGTGGTGAAAAATGTCTGGATCGAGCACAGTTCTTTCAGTTGCCGCATCGCCAACGCCACGGACGATGACCAGCCGGTGCAGGCAACGAGGTTCGAAGAATCGGAGGAGGCGTTCACCCGGGACCCACTAGACGATACCAACACACGGATACTCGGACGGTTGTTCATTTCCAAGTACTACGACGCCAGTACCTCAGATCACAAGACGCTGAAGTTCAAAAACGTGGACATCCACCTAGCGGGGGAGTACCATATTTGCTGGGAAAACCCCTTTGAGAAAACTAGGAGCACAGGGCTCGGGCTCCAGCGGGACCCGTACTACTCTGGGGGGGAGGAGACTGCGGTGAGCAGCGGAGCTGCAGGAGGTGGAACAAACTCCTCAACATCATCGGCGAGCAGCCCGGCGACCGAGGATGCGGACGGCAATGGGACAGCAAACAGTACAGGAGGGAACGCAACAGTTGTTGCAGAAGGTCCCGGCATCTACTACCCGAGCTCCTGGCCGCTGTTCAAAATCGACATCCGCGGGCCGAAGAAGGTTTACTACATCTTCCCCTCTCGGTACTCTTCCGCAGCAAGCGCAGCGGCTGCGTCCAACGGGAGTACTACCGTCGTTGCCACGGCAGACCCGGAGGGGTTTCTGGACACCGCGAGTTTGAGTCTGGAGGAACAGAAGAAGTTGCTGATGGACGATTTGACGGTGCAAAGCGGGAATTTCCCGTTTGTCATGTCCAACCCGAGCAACGCGACAATAGCGGACGAAGCCGTGACGCTCTTCGCACACGAGAAGTTCGACATCGTCGTTACCTTCCACCTTTGGGACTACTTCTGCTGCGGCAGCAACATCTTCACGCCGACCAGCTATTCGGATACCTTACTCTTAGCGAACGACTGCCACGACACGAATACCTTCACGAACGACCCAGTTTTGACCCGATACCCGGACTTGAAGCTTTTTTACCGGCAGTCCGACGCGGCGACGACTTCCAGCTCGATGCTGACCTGGGAGGGGGTGTATTTAGACCGCGGAAGGCCGTTTGAGTTTTGCTACTTCACTCTGGAAGGGCCCTACAACCGGATTCCGAACAACGACATCGGGTGGACGGTTTTTGATTCCTTGCACGTCACAGGGCCGAATTTGGTGTACTTCGAGGGCATGACGAAGTACTTGTCGTTAGGTGGCGGAACCTACGCGGACAGCAACGCAATCGCCGCTGCGGATTTACAGATTGGGCAGGTCCCGGATGCCTACGTCGGCCCGCCGGGGGTGTTTTTGAACGTCAAGGGCCATAGGATGGACGGCCGGTATTCGTTGTCAAACATGACGAAGAGTCTGGACATTTCGGACTTGTCAGCGCCGGTTGTTGTGCCGAGCAAGGCCTTGACGAGCGGAAATTCTGTGTCCGTGACCACGGGTGGCGGCATGGTCGGCCCGACGGACAGCGATGCACTATCGCAACCATTGACCGGGTCCTACGCGGTGGGAGCCAATCCAAAATTGATGTTCATCCTGTACGACTACCTGGGTCTACACGCGGACTACCAAAAACTCGATTGCAACACGGCGGTGAAAAGGATGTTTTACTACCGGATAGAGGAGGAGGATCAGGTTTTTGACCCGAACGGCACGAACGGAACATCAGCAGGAGGCTCTGGAGCAGCAGGCTCGTCATCCTCTTCCAGCTCGAGCACCGCAACCGCGACTACCACAAGTTCGTCCAACGGAACCAACATGACCCAAAACACCTCCCTCCCCTACGTGGACGTATATGATTTTTTCCTGTACAAGACCGAGGATCCGGAGCGCGGGCCGCTACGGTTGTTCTTTTCCTCTTTGGAAGACGCGAAATCAATCAACGTGACGGACTACATTTTCGAAAACCAAATTCTCGAGATCGGGTCTTACTACCAGGTGTGCTGGCAACTCACCGACGGGAACTGGTGGAGCTTCTGGGATAATCTCCCCGTCCAAGGGCCCTACAACTACACGCTCACCGGGGTTCTCATGGGCCACCCGATGAAGTTAGACTTCGGAGTGCTGTACGTGCAATCCAACAGTTACCCGGATCCGGCCAACGTTGGTGCGGTTCTGCACCCGCAGAACGTGAATGTTTCCCTCTGCGACATGGACGTCACCGCGGTGGAACCCTATGGGTTGCGGATGACCAACACGGACCAAACTCGTTGGCTGTACCAGGTAACCGCGACCGATTCCGGGTTGCAGAGGGTTTGTTGGAACGGCTGGACCTACACCTACGTGATCATCGTCGGGCCCGAGCCATCCGGCGAGTACTTTTGCACGAAGGGGTCCGAACCCTGTACCTTCAATTTGGTCGGAACCTATCTCGAGATGTTCACGAGTAGGCTCGGGCTGTTCCAAGACGAATCTTGCTCCAACGTGTCCACGACCGCGACACTCGACGACTGGAAAAACCTCGCGGTTTGGCGCAAGAACAGCAATCAACAAACTGCGGATCTGGCGTCGCACAGCGGGCCCTTTGCGTACTCCACGACGACGCGAGGGGATCTCCCCTTCGCCTTCGATGTGTTGAACCCGCCGTACGGACACAAGATCCACGGGAAATTCTTTGTCTGCCTCGACGCGCTGTCCGTCTGGGTGGCTGCCGGGACCCTAACCCTGTACGGCTTCGCGTACCAGGACTTTCGCGAGAAGTGGGAGTGCTCCGCCGGGGAAATCTGCCCCTTCGACATGACCCACATGGGCACGCAGGACCCGAGCACGATCTTGAACTTAACCTTATCCGAGCAGCACACGGACGAGAACGGCACGGTGACGCTGGTGGAGAAGTACGTTTACCCGATCGTGAATAGAACCGTGAAGATCGAGAACATCCGGAAAGGGAACCTCTTCTACGTCAAAGCCTGCGGGTCGGTCTACTGCTACGAGATCGGGATCATTTTGGAGACCACGGGGCCGACCGGGTTCCTGCGGGTGGAATGCGTTTTGGGGCGGCCGTGCTACGCCTTGGACGCGGCCGCACAGCAGAAGATTGTCGGAAAGGGGATGGACATCGAGAAGGACCGCATCGGGCTGATTCCCGGGACCGACTGGGGGCAGTGTGGGGACGGGATCGCGCCGACGTTTATCGTGAATTTTGGGGAACTGTTCAAGGACCCGCCGGCGATGGGGTACGGGGGGTATTACTCGATCTGCTACTGCATCAGCAAGGAGTTCGACTGCACGGACCCGACGCAGTTCACCGCGTACGTCGGGATTTTGCGCATGTCAGGCCCGAACCAAATCACGCACGCAAAGTGCGTTCTCGGGGAGCAGTGCGCGCTGGACCTCGGGCCGGGGACGGGGATGGACGAGTCGGTGCAAAGTATTCTGCTGAGGAAGCCTGGCGCGCCGTGCAACAGTTTACAGCACGACTACAGCATTTTCGACACGATAAAGTCTTTCGGGCTGGAGGCGCGGGCGCGGGCCAGGGAACGGGAGTTCGCGACGGTCGGGCTGAAGTCCGAGTTCGTGGAGTCGCATAAAAATCTCTTCGACACTGCCAAGACGGACGACTTGTTCACGTTTTTTGACTTAGGCGTGCCCAACCACGGGGTCACTTATTCATCCTTGAACATCCCCCCACCGTTCTCCGACGCGGAAAGACTGGCGCAATCCGCGCTCTTACCCCCCCGGCCGCCACAGCTCGGCGCGCGGCAAATCCCCAAATTAATTCCGGACAGACGGCAACCCTCCCCGCCAACCCAGCGGTACAGTGGCTATC